AAGTGCATCCGCCTGGTTGTTTTCTGATCTCGGCACTTGGGTCAGATGGAAATCCTCAAGGGAGCCGACTGCTTGTCGGACCGCCTGTAAATACTTGATCATGGCCGGATGGGTTGCTTCGTATTCGCCATTGTACTGACTCACTATCAATTGTGAATCGGAACAGGCGTTTATTTTTCTTGCCCCTGCCGCCTTGCACATGCGGATTCCGGCTAGTAAAGCTTCATATTCTGCCTCATTGTTTGAGGCCTGAAAACTGAAGCGTAGAGCATACTCGTACCTGTTTCCCTCTGGCGACTGACATATGACGCCTGCTCCACAACCATTTGAAGTAGAGCTTCCATCCACATATACCTTCCAGACTTGGTCTGGAACTTGAGAGTCGGGAGGACGAGTCATCTCAACAATAAAGTCAGCAAAGGCTTGCCCCTTCACTGCTTTTCTAGGCTCGAAGGTAACTTCGAGGCTCTGTATTTCTATGGCCCATTTGATCATTCGGCCTGACGACTCCATGATGGTCAGTGGCCGCTTGATAGGTTGGTCTGTATACACGACGACTGCATGTGCCAAAAAGTAGGGCTTCAATTTTTTAACAGCCATGAAGAGTGCAAGACCAAATTTCTCCACTAAGGGATACCTCAACTCGGCATTTTTCAGTACGTGACTGACAAAGTAGACCGGGAGCTGACAGCCGTCTCTTTCAGCAAGGAGAACAGCGCTTAACGCATGATCAGAGACGGCCAGGTACATGTAGAGTACTTCTTTGGGCAAAGGGCTGACCAGCCTCGGCAAGGAATGCAAGTGAACTTTCAATTTCTGGAAGGCCGCCTCAGCATCCGGCCCCCATTCAAACCTTGCCTTTTTCTTAATTTCCTGGAAAAAGTATAGGCATTTGTCGCCTGACCGGCTTAGAAATCTTCCCAAGGCCGCCAGACAACCTGTTAACTTCTGAACCTCTCGGATGGTACGAGGCGACTGCATGTCGATGATCGCATGCACCTTCTCAGGGTTCACCTTTATTCCTCTCTGATTGATAAGGAATCCGAGAAATTTCCCAGACTCAACTCCAAAGACACATTTCTTGGGATTGAGCATGACATGGTGCCGCCTGAGTGTGGCGAAAGTTTCTCGGAGGTCCGACAGATGATCTTTCTGAAGTTTAGACTTGACAATCATATCATCAATATATGCCTCGACATTTCTCCCAATCTGATCAAAGAACACAGTGTTTATCATTCGCTGGAAAGTGGCCGGGGCATTCTTAAGACCAAACGGCATAACCGTGTAACAGTATAACCCCTGATCAGTGACGAAGGTCGTCTTCTCCTGATCTTTCTTCCATAAAGGAATTTGATGGAAACCAGAGTAGGCGTCCATAAAGCTCATCAAAGCATGGTCGGCTGTTGAGTCGACCAGGTTATCAATTTTAGGCAGAGGGTAACTGTCTTTGGGGCACGCCTTGTTTAAGTCTGTGTAGTCTACACACATTCGCCAGGTGCCATTCGGCTTTTTAACAAGCACCACATTTGCAACCCAGTCTGGGAAGTAACATTGCCGAATGAACCCTGCATCAAGTATTTTTTAACTTCGGCGGCTGCCGCCTGACTTCTTTCTTCGCCATGGTTCCGCTTCTTCTGCCGTACCGGCTTCTTTTTCGGATCCACGGCCAGTTTATGTACCGCCAGATCAGGACTAATGTCTGGCATTTCATGGACTTCAAATGCAAAGATGTCCTTGTATTCTTTCAATATTTTGTGAAAGTCGTCACCCAGGTCCCTTAGAGCAGTCGTCCCAACCTTGATTGTTCTGTCCGGACGCGAGTCATCTAAGATCAGGTCCGTATGCTCACCAGCCGGCTGAGGGCGGAATTCATCCAACCGCTCCTCTGCCAATGATTGCTATTTTCTGTCTTTTCTTGCGGCCCCTGTCTGGGATGCCTTTCTCTTCTTGCCGCCTGCTTCTTGAACAGGCGCACTCTCCTTGACATTGTCAAGGTCTATTTTTTTACCTCTCGACCCAGTGGCCATAACAGTGGGCTTGACATCCGAGAAATAGCACTCTCGGGCCATCCTCTGATCTCCCCTTAGGGACCCGACTGTTCCATTATCCCTCTCAAACTTGAGCAACATAAGAGATGGGATTATAACAGCCTTGGAATTATTCAGGGTTGGTCGTCCCAGAATCATGTTGTAGGCCGAGAGTTCTTCTACTACCAGGAACCGGACTACCATGTGTTGTCCTTCCCCTTTTTCGCCCAGGCGGATGGGTAAATCCGCTCGTCCCACTGGGTGGACGACTCCTCCTCCAAACCCTACTAAAGGGTGGGATGCCGGATGTATGCAATCAGTCTGATATTTTAGTTTCGACAGACATTTGCTACTGATGAGATCTGAGGAGCTTCCGGTATCTATGAGGATTCGGCCAACTCTCTGGTTGGCCACTTTACATTCAATAACGATAGGGTCGTCATGCGGCCCTCTTACCCCTCCTAGATCTTCTTCAGTGATGACAATCTCAGGAAATGAATATTTGGAGGGTCGTTCTTGGTGAACGGAATTTACATCTAACCGTCTGATATTGTCTTTGTTGCCCCTAATAGTGGGGTCGCCTCCTGAGAAGCCGCCTGCAATGGTGTAGACGACTGCATCATCTGTATCGGAGTTGTCGGCCTGTTGATTCTTTTTGGCCGACTGCTTTTTCGAGGAAGTGTTCCCCGTAGATTTCTTGACATAAGTGTCAAGGTCACCTTGCTCAGCCAGGCGGTCCAGATACCGCATGAGACTGATGCATTCATTGGTGTGATGACCAACATCTTCATGATAATCACAGAATTTTTCTTGGTTCCGATTGTTTGCAGAACCCTTCATGGGGACCGGCTTCTCAATTGAGATTCGTCCCTTGATTTCCTTTAGGATAAATTGGTTATCCTTGTTAAACACATACTTTGGGGAGTATGGTTTGAATTCTTTTTTCTTCTTCTGGGACGGCTGTTTAGAGGAATCAGTTGCCCAGACCTCTTTTCTCTTCTCGTCTTTGTTTGACGACTGCTTCTGTCGTCCTTCTCTTTTGTCGGACCTTTTCCCGTCTGACTGTTTTACCGTACTACAAAGATCAGTCGCCTGTATATAGGCTTCCGCTTCAATCAAGGCCTCTTGAAGAGTCGCCACCCTCTTTCGGACCAAATCAAATTTGAAGGTCGACCCGTCTTTGAGACCTCTGAAAAAGTCAGTATAGGCTACTTCATCCGGTAACCCTTGAATATGTATTCTCATCAGGTTAAATCGCCTGATGTAAGAACGAAGCCCCTCCTTCTCGCCCTGCTGAATTGTTCCTAAATCAAGGGTCGTCTTATTCGCAGGGATGTTCATGGCGAAGTTGGAGGTGAATAAGTAAGCAAGCGTCTTGAAGTTATTTACACAACCAGTCGGCAGGTTGCCGAACCATTGTTGTGCGATTCCTTTGAGAGTCGCTGGGAAACACTTGCACCAAGTGGGATCATCCAACCCTTGAAGGTACATCAGGTTGGTGAATGCCATCAGATGGTCTTCTGGGTTAGTAGTGCCGTCATAGGCGCCTACTAATACATTTTTCACTTTGGTCGGCTGAGCGGCTTCAGTAATTTCCTTGGAGAAGGCCGACGGCTGTTCACCAAGTCTAAGCAACCATAGCTGCCAGTCCATAGGTTGGACATTTTTTGCTGCATGTCCACCAAACGGAGGTGGCTGTATAAAATACTGTTGTTGCGGTACAAACGGTAAGTTTGGTACCGCCTGGTCGCTATGAAAGCCGGACTGACGGGAGGTGTCGCCTGACTGACTCTCATGATACGACTGAGTATGCCTCATCGAGGTATTTCGCAGACTGTCTTGGAAGTATGAAGTAGAGGCCGACTCTGACAATCGGTCACTCTTCTTCTGCTCTAGCAGTAGCCGAGCGTCTGTGTATGTTTTCCTCGATCCGTCCGCCTGAATATGACGAACAGGTTTCCTATTTCCTGGAGTAGGAAAACGGTATTTTGTGAAATCAAGGGCAGGTGGCTCCCACTTCCTAGATTTAGGATGAGGGGTCGCCTCTCGCCCTTGAACTGGCTTCCTCTTCCGTGAAGTGGAGGGTTTCTTAGCCGACTGCTCCTTGTCCAGAGCAGCCGGCTTCTTGTTGATCAACTCTTGAATTTCTCCCTTGAAGTCCCTCATGAAGGTCATGAGTTCGTCCCTTGTGATGGGAGCAGACCCATCAGTCGGCTGCTGCCGAACAGGCGGTGCGCCTGCTGGCTCGCTTCCAGTTTGAAGATGTTCCCGTTCCCTCCTTTCGGTATGACGGGTACGTCGGGCCCTTAGGGTCCCGTCTGAAGCTGTGTGAGCTTCAACTTCAAATTCATTCTCAGTATCGCGGTCCGACTGAACTAGAGGATCGTCCAGGGGACGTCTCTCTTCAGGATCCGGTACAAACGTGGGTGCCATCTCAGAAGTACTCTCCCCACAGACGGCGCCAAAAATGTTTCGGGGTTTTCTGATGTCCTGCGGGAGAGTTACAATTCCGAGACTGGAACCGGACGCCTGTACCTGCAAAACAAACGGATGCTCCGGATGGTTGGAGATCCGCCTCCGACGGTCAAGTTAGTACTTGATTAAGGAGTAATTAATACGGAAATTAAAGTGATTGGGTCTCTCTAGGTGAGAGTGTTTAATGTGTGTAATCTGCGTAATCTCTCTTAATGAGGTTTAAGGGAGGTATTTATAACCTCGGGAAACGTGCCAATCTAGGTTTAGGTTAACCTTGGGCTGATTGGGCTTCCCTCGGAAGTTGGGCCTAGGTGACCGGCTTCTCCATTAGGCATGGAGTATGCCACGTGTCATGACACAATAAGTCCAGGGTGGACGAATAAGCGTGTGCCACGTGGCAAGCCCTGAGAGGTCCAACTGGGGGACACTTGGCAGGACCTGATTGGCCCACGTGGCGCATTCCGATTGGTGGAAGCAAAATCCCCTAATCAGTTAGTATATAGAAAAACCCATAAATTAATTTAACAGCTACGATTACAAATAAGAGCTAATAAAAGTACAAGCAAATATTTTATTTTTACAAGAAACAGCCTATTTTGACAAATTACAAAATGTTGATAAATTAGTGTGCATCTTCTGGACCAGCCTACACTCGCGAAATCCTTAAAATCCAGGAACCTCTCCTGGTAACGGAGCTAATTCATTTTTGCCGAATTTCTCTTCATCATAAAATGTGGCACGTACCACTCGCCCTCCAAAGAACCTGCCATCAAGGTCAACTAAAGCCTTGGTTGTTTCCTCTGATCTCTCAAACTGCACAAAAATTCTCACAGCTTCATCAGACGGGAAGTTGGACTCCGTGATTTCAAATATAAGCACCCGAGTAACTGTTCCGTACTTTGCACACTCCGATCCTACTTCTTCTTCCAATTCATCATCTACCTCACCAGGACCAACCTTCAAGAACCATAAGTGAAACGAGAAAGTAGTTATTATCACACAAGTGAGATAACAAAAAAAAAAAAAAAAAAGGGTATACAGAATGTCTCAGAACATTGTGAATAAAAGATGCAGGGAATTGTTACTGTGTCACCAATATTTTAGGCACAACGTTAAAGTATAAAACAGTATCAGGTCTGTGACATCTTACAAAGAACCATTTAATTCTGAAGGTTAATCAATGATTGTACTTCAATTTAGGTTATTCTCCACAATATGTTGACACTATAAAACAGAAGGGGATTAACAAGAATTAACCAGAAAAAGCAGTTTTTATAATATAGTGCGCCAACTCGCCAAGCTTCACCACAAACTTCTCTAAAATCTTCTTTAAATGTCAGAACACTCCTTTGAAACATTATTTTCATGAAGTCATCTCTGAACCTAAACCAGCAATACAAGCACACTATTAAGTTGGATTCAATCATGTCAATCATATTGCATCAATGTTGTTTCTTTTCTTTTCTATAAAGATGCTGGAAACTGGAGAGGAGAACAGGGGATAATTGACAGAGTAAAGAGAAAACAAAATTAGGATAGTGGATTCTATTGATAATCCTAGTAATCACACAATAAAACCTCCTTACTTTCGAGAGGCAAGGGCTCTCCTACAAGGAAAAATAAAGAGGAAAATTCCAGAGTGATATTCAGCATAACCCCAAACAGCTTATTACAACGTATTTATATTCAAAGGCCTCTAACAGAACTCATAACAGAATTCTCTAGTTCCCATAACAAACTCCTCTTCCCAGGCATCTCATAACAAACTAGTGTTGAATAACTATTTCTACCCTTAGGTTGTTTTAACCACCTTTGGCGCCATTCTTGCAAAAATAGGTGAATAGAATAGGAGGCTTCTGGTTCCTTGCATTACCCCCGGCCCAAAGCTTCACCTTGTCCTCAAGGTGAAAATCAGGAAATCTGAGTGTCATTGCCTCCCTAGTCCATATCTTCCCATGTGGCCTCGTACTCTGGTAGTTGCTTCCATTTTATTAAAACTTCCAATTCCTGCTTTGTTTCTGACCACCAGTAAGGACTCTGGTTCAACATCCAGCACTAACTCAGAAGTAAGCTGAGGAGGTAGTGCAGCAGCTTGTTGAGCAGGTCCCAAGGCCCTTTCTATAACTAACCTTATTACAAGCAGGCGACATGTGGCTTAACCTCTATATATTGGGATGCATTTTAGCTTGTGGATATAACAGTGGTTAGAATTCCTCTCTCTCTTGATGGGTGGATTTAGTTTGTAGGTGAATTTGGGTGGTGATGGTGGTGGGTAAGAGTACTCACCACGTTCCTCTCTATCTTGATTTCCTTCTTTTCACATAGCTCATAATTGGAATCAAATGTAAAGCTCTATAAACTTCTATAGCCTCTAACAGCAAACCATAGATACCAAAATGTGATCTTACACAATACAATCCTAGTTACATTCAGATAGAATCAGGCAACTCTCTTCCTAGATGAGATCAATAAAAGTGTCTTCTAAATTATCCATGTTAAGCTCTACAAAACTAAATGCTTATTATGTTTAGCTCTAAACACAAGAAAGATGTCTAATTGGAATTTAGGATGATGCTAATTATAACAAGCATTCATGGTAAAACGATACTAGAACCACAGCCTAGATAGAAAAGTTTAAAGCATAGAAAAGAATTTATTGAACAAGATGCTTTTGAGCTTAGATGCAAACATACAATACAAAATCATCAAGATCATCACCAACTTGACTACCTTGTAGCATATTGAAATGTCCCAGATTGGACAGACATCATTACTTCATACAAAAATGTTGAAATTAAATGTTTAACAACCCCTTCAAAAATAATAATGAAGCATCAACAAATAAATTGTATTGGTACAAGATATCACCAACAATATATGAGCATTAGAGCTCAAAACAATAGCTATTATTTAGAAAAAATGAAAAATATTACAATTCAGTAGCCAATGGAACTTCTGTCCTTACTAATTCAAAGGTATATACCACTACTAGATAACTGATCTACACATGTCAAGCAAAAGACAAGAAGGCATCTCCATAACATAAAAATGTGTGTGTGTGTGTGTGAGTATGTGTGACAGCAACAACAATCAAATCTAGCAAAGAACTTTGAATGGCAAGATTGGCAACCATTAAGCAACCCATGGTGTCCAAGACTATAAAACGTTAAACTCGATATCAGCTTCCACAATAGCGATATTCACCAATTGTACAATGCTCCTATTGAGCTATTGATGAAATCAATAGCAGCCTCCAAAATTTAATTCTAACTCCCCCAAATCTATCAGACTAGCATAAGTTTTATACTTTATCCATTCCAAATGTATAAATTAAATACCACAAGGTAAAATTGCATGTCAATGATATTTGAGAAGGGCAACAACCCGAAATGGAATTGAAACTCCTAACATAAGCTCAATTGTAAAGAATTCCAGAGTTGCAAAAACTCCATGTAGGTTTGGAAGACATAGAGGCAAGTCAAAAGCATTGTACAAAAAGGCTTAAGACCCACCAAGGGCGTTTCAGAGTTCCTTGCACCTAAGGCGCCCCTCGTTGAAGTGAGGCACATATAATAAGCAATACTCCCTTCGTTTCGTAATAATCGCAATAGTAGGGTGGGCACAAAGTTTTTAGAAAATCATAGGGTAGGGTTGAAAAAGGGAATTTTAAAATATAAAGTATAGTTACTGGGGATATATTTAACCGTAAATAGGGGAGGGAAATAATAATAAAAGTAGTGTAAGTGGGGTTGGAAAGAGAGAGAAATAGTAAAATATTAGTTGGTCTTTATCAAATAAGGAAGTGTTGCAATTATCATGAAACAGATGAAAAAGGAAAGTGTTGCAATTATTACGAAACGGAGGGAGTATAAAGTTTCTAAATAAAAATGGCTTGCGCCTAGGGTGTAATGTGCCTTGTCGTGCCTAATCAAAATCGCCGCGCCTAGACCATAAAAGGAGCATGATCCTTAACGCCTTAGACTTTTCAAACACTGGTGACAAGGACACACCTATATATTCTTGACCGAAAGGCTATGACATCTTACTTCTAGAAAGCAATGAACCTTATACCTCTAAGAAAGTTTTGATGAGACAAACTCCAAATGGCTTAAAGCCATGAAATCTAAGATAGAATCCATATTTGAAATTTCAATGTTTAACTTGGCTGAAAATGGTGTTGTTAAGATAAAGTGAAGAGCTTCTTTAGCGAAACAAAAACATTTACGTTTTAAAGCTAGCTTTGTTAAATATTACTAACAAAATTCACCAAGTGGATTTATTGAAATCCATATTTGAAATTTCAATGTTTAACTTGGCTGAAAATGGTGTTGTTAAGATAAAGTGAAGAGCTTCTTTAGCGAAACAAAAACATTTACGTTTTAAAGCTAGCTTTGTTAAATATTACTAACAAAATTCACCAAGTGGATTTATTGAAACCTTTTCTTCATTTGCTATGCGCCTATGCTAGAACCTATCTATATACATCCGGCAATTGCAAGTTGTCATACGTACAAAATTGTACGAAACTAAGCAACAGATATCAAAGCCATCTTCAATGGAATTTCAGAAGATATAATGTATATGATATATCTAAAGGGCTTTGTTAATCAAACTGGTCATATGATAGGAAGGTATGCAAGCTTTAAAATCCATTTTGGATTAATTTAAGCATTAAGGAGTTAAAGTTTTACACTTCAAACAAGTAGTTAAAATAATTTATAATTCAAAAGGAATGCTTTGGGAAATCTTGTGATAACAAGGCTAGTGGGGGTAATTTTATGTCCTTCGTAGTACATGTCAATGAAGATATCCATCTATGCGAAACCATGCATATCTAGGTAAGGTGCACTGCAGTGTAGCCAAGAACATTCGTAAAGTACCTTGAAAGGACTAGAAGAATGTATCGTAGTAGAAGATGATTTGGTTGTTAAAGATATAACAAGGCAAACTTCATCTTATACATTTGGTCTACAAGGAAAGATGAGCAAAGTTTAGCATAATTCACCAAATACCTTGTTAAAGAATCAATAGAGATGGAAATTTGGATATAAATGTTCATTATTGAACTTGATGTTACCCTAAACAAGTACCAACTCGACTATTTCCTATTTGCTATTTGATACTATTAGTGGATTCATTGTTTAAGTCAAGAAGCAAAGGGAGCACATCAAATCCAATGGATCTTCTGTGAAAATATTTTCACATGCTTGAGTTTACAATTTAAGATTTGCAAGAGTAACACCTAAATGACAAAGTTGCTAACTAGTATAATGCTAGGAATTGGTATAAACCAGTAGCTAAGCAAGCTAAGAGAGACAAACAATGTCAGCCAGGGAATGAATTGTATTCTCAAACAGAGTGTTCAACAATACAGCCTTCTTTCGAGAGGAAGGAGCTCTCCAATACAGGCCACTTGATTAATTAATTGCTTGATGCATTTCCCCTCCACCAAGCCCCTATTAATACCCACAATTAACTCATGAAATAAGCTTAAACACAGCTAAAGCATGCCAGCAACAATAGCAAACTCATAACAAACTTTTTTATAGATTAATATTATACCCTCCACCCCAAAACTGGTATTAACAGCCATCCAGCTCAGCAAAGCCTCCAACTAATTCTTCTTGGGCCTTCTAGCATAGGTGAAACGGAGATCAGTTTTAGGCCGGTTCCTTGCAATACCTCCCACCCAAAGTTGCACCTTGTCCTCAAGGTGGAAACTAGGGAACCTGAGATTAACCTCGTCAAAGAATTCCCAAGTAGCCTCAAAGTCCTGCAAAGCCTTCCAGTGAATCAACACTTCCATAGAAGCTTGAGAATTTCTTACACCAAGCACTGCCCATGGTTCAACTTCCAGGACCAAGTCAGCAGTCAGCTGTCCAGGAAGACTAGTAGGGCGATGTCCTGCCCCTAAAGCCTTTTTCAACTGAGAGATGTGAAAAACAGGATGAATTTTT